TTTTTTAGCTTGTAATAAGAAGATGCTTTCTTTTGTGTTGTGGATTTAAGAAATGCTTTAGGAACTGCTCCACTGAAGTCTCCATTCCATACAGTTAATGCAGACTGTATTACTAACCTCAGATACAGGAACATTCCCCTGGAGAGCCAGTATAACAGTAAGTCAGAGAACTGGCTCTGGAGCTGGGCTTCCTGGGTGCAAAACCTAGCTCTACTTACTTCACTTACTGTGTGATCCTTGGCGCATTGCTCACCCTCTGTGTCCATTGGTGCTCCAATCTATAAAATCCCATCTATAAAAATGGGATGAATGATGTGCCATCATGTAAGGTTGTTGTGAGGAACAGATTTTATAGTAAGAGCGTAGAGCACAGTAAGTGTTCAGTTCACTGTTATTTTTGCATTAGATTTAAAAACTATTACTATTTTTATACCTTATAGTTGTTTATTTTAAAGCTGGTAACAACAGATTTTTTTTATATAAATGCTATCTTTACTATAGCAGAAGCATTCCCCTTTTTGCATTTTGTTGTTGACTTAATTCACTGAACTCTCGACACCACCTCTAGATGAGATAGTTGGCTGCATCAGAAACAGACTAAATCCTTAGTCATTTGGCAAGTTTAGGATTTTAGGACCTAGTTAGATCATGTAACAGCATCAATCATGTGTCAAGTTTCTGCTAAGCCACGGAGAAATCATTAGAAGGGTGATATATTTTTCCTGCTTTAAGTCAGCCAATATTTTTGAGTGGTTCCTATATTCTGTGAATACAGAAGTAAGAAAGGCCCCTGCTTCAAGGAGCTCACAGTAGATACCCAGCAATTACATGCATTAAAATAAATGCACCATTTGAAATAGACACAGTCTTATAATGTATATTTTGGGGGCAACAATGATTTAGGGTGGGCTAAACATGACAAGCTTTCCTAGGAAAGAGCCCTGAAGTGTATTGAAGCACACAGAAGTAAGTGGGAAAGCTAAGATGAGAAGCAGCAATAACAGCATGAAAGCATACAGGTAAAAGACGCATGATACATCTGTGAAAATTTAGGTAACTTGGCAAGGCATGGGATTGGGGATTGCTAGATAGGAAAAAAAAAATGAATGAGATCCTAAGAGGTGAGCTCAAAGAGATCGGCAGGGCAGAGTTCTCATTTTTATCTTGGAATCAGTGAGAAGATGGTAACACATTTGCCTTTTTAAAAGTTTTCAGTAGGAATGTGTGGAAGATGGGTCAGAAAAGGTGTGGGGACACCTAAGGAGAGAAGGCTGTTGCTGTAATTCCGAAGGCAAGAGGGACTGGATCAATATACAGAGATAATGAAGATAGCAAAGAGGGCAGAGAATGGCAAGCTGGACAGCAAATTGACCTTTAGCTGTGTGTGGTAAAAGCAAAGGAGAAATCCAGACTCAGCTCTGATTTGAGGAGCACGCTGGGCAGAGTAGGGAACCCCAAAGGGAAAACAGGTGTGATAATGGGGTCAAGTGTAACATACTAAATTCAAGATGACTTTGGGTGACTCACCTGGAGTTGCCTGGTAAGAAAACATGGATCTGGAGTCTCAGCAGCACAATCTAGGGGAAAAAAAAAAAACCAACACAGAAATTTGGTCATTGAAGCTGTGAGTTGAGTAAAACTGTCCCAGGGGGAGTCTGCGGAAGGAGAAAGAGAAGAGGGCCAAGGACAGAACCCTGGGGTTAGAGCATTCGCAAGTCCTTAGAGGGAAGAGAGTAAGAAAGCAGGAGGAGGAAGATTCAAGATTTAAGGTATGATCAGCAGGGTAAAAGGGTCCCCTAAGGAAACTGATAATCCAGCCGGGAAGTCACTGCATCTACAGGTGAAGAAATGAGGTGGAAGAATTGCCCATGACTGTACTTGACCAGTCACCTAAGGAGGTTAGAGACAGTTCTTAGGAAGTTGAGAGTGGAATTGACCTGAAGCTAGAGAAAGGCGATGGGACTTCACCAGGCCTGGAATACGGGTAGAAATGAAGCAAGTAGAGGACATTTCAGCTGGGGCGATGAGATATTTCAAATCTATTTTCATGGCTGACAATAACTGAAGGTGGATTTTTTTTATTGATAGTGGTTGGCAGTGTCATCACTGAATAATGAAGACAGCATTTGGTTCTCTTTTAGTTATAGCACCTGCTGATTAAACAGTATCATATAAAACCAAGTGCAGTGTTGACCTGATATCTTATACAAAATTAAGGAAGTCGTGACAGGAAAGTGCTATGGTTTCTGCAGAGCAGATTCATTCAAGGAGTGTCTAACTTTGAGGGCATCACGAGGGTCAGTTTGATGGGAAAAAACTATCCAATATGGTTATATGCCCTCTTAAATTTTTGGTGCCTAGTGTTATTCGCTCACTCGTGTCCAACTCTTTGCAACCCCATGGACTGTAGCCCGTCAGACTCCTCTGTCCATGGAATTCTCCAGGCAAGAATAGTGGAGTAGGTTGCCATTCCCTTCTCCAGGGAATTTTCCTGATCCAGGGATTGAACCTGGGTCTTCTTGAATTACAAGCAGATTCTTTACCATCTGAGCCACCAGGGAAGCCCCCTACCAAAATCTTGGTAGCGAATTCTAAAAGTCCCTTTGGTTTAATGCATCTGTTCCTGGCTATGAAGTTTCAGATGCCCCACCCCATCTTTTCTCTAGCTTCTGGTTGCTAAGCTGTGGGCATGCGGAAGGAAGGGAAGGAGATTTTCTTGTGCCCCCTTCCCCACCCCTCTGCGCCTTCAGTTCTTTCTCCATCTTCCCATTCCATCTCTTTGGCTTGTTCTTGCTAGGGAGCACCTGGCTTGCAACTCAGCTTAGGTGATAACTCTTCATTTACCAAAAGGAACATCTTTATGACAGAAACAGTCAGGTGTTACCTTGGGAAATAACTTGTCACAACCTATCTATGCTGGTCTGCTCACAGCTCTGTCATAGTGATGGCTTTCTGTGACTGATGCCATTCCTGCAAAGAGGAAGGTACAGAATAAGGAGAAGTCATTGGGAAACCAGGTTCTAGTGCTCATTATATCCCTTCCCTAGAGATATGGTCTCACGGAAGTCACTGAACCTCACCTAACCTCAGCCTTCTCAGTAAAATTTTTGTGACAATCAAGTGAGATAATATTCATAAAGATGTGTTATGATTGCAAAGTGCTATTTAGATATTAAGTGGTGGTGAAAGTGAAAGTGTTAGTCACTCAGTTCTATCTGACTCTTTGTGACCTCATGGATTATAGCCCGCCAGGCTTCTCTGTCCGTGGAGTTCTCCAGGCAAGAATACTGGAGTGGGTTGCCATTCCCTTCTGCAGGGCATCTTCCTGACCCAGGAATCGAATCCAGGTCTCATGCAGTTGCAGGCAGATTCTTTACCGTCTGAGCCACCAGGAAAGCCCAGGGCTATAATCATAACCCTGGTATGAAAGCAAAGGGAAACCAGATTTCTCCTCTTAAATCTGTTCTGAAGACCTCAGCCTTTCATTCCAACCCAGCATTAGATAATCAGTTTCTCCAGAGCCACATCTCTTCTGGTCCCTACTAATCTGTGCTGATGTATCCTGGCTCCTGCAGTGGGTGATGCATTTGAGTAGCAGTAAGTTAACTCCATTCTTCTCCCCTTAGTGCATGGTGGAAGCCCTTGAAATCCACCCCTAGAGAAGAAAAATGGAAAACAATTTACAAAGTGCTTCCTGTGGGCCAGGCACTTTCTTTGCCTGAGTTCCTTTTCCACAAACCACAGGCTGTTCCCACAGAGGAGAAATGAGGAAGCCTTTGCAGTTGAGACCTGTGGAAATTACATTTCTATTAAAAGCTGTCTGTGGCTCAATGTATCCATCCCAGATACAAAGTTAAATGATGTAATAAACTTATTCAAAGACATAAAGCTATTACATAAAATGCCATTTAAATATCTTCCACTCAGTGTTAACAAAATACAGCTATAAATCTCCTTTGGTTGCAATTTTGCAAGTTGCTAGGTCTCAGTAGGTTATGCATCTGCCAGTTCTTCACTGTTGAATTCTCTTTTCTAGTCCTGGTACGTGGGATGTCAGGGATGCATAACCATCTGAAACGTGATGATGTTTTCAACTTTCTCAGTGTCATCACTCATGAGTCTGGGAGTGCTAAGTCCCTTCTAGGACAGGTTGCCCTTGGTTTTCTACCTGCTGGCTCTGCGCAGTGCTGAGGCCCTGTATTTCATATACTTGAGATTAAAGGCAAAGACGACCAACCAACCAGGCCATCACTCGGGATTCAAGGTTGGGAACTGACATACCTCCTGTGAACTCTGATCCACAGCTTCTTGCATGGGGCCGTACATTTAGGGAGAAGGGGGTATAATGGAAGGGAAGCATTGAAAGGAATACAGAGCATCATATCTAGAGACATTCTGGACCCCCAATTTTCCTGTGGTGATTCACTTAAACCCAACTCAAGAGGAAATGCTCATACAATCCAGATATGTCTCACTGAACTTACCTCATTCTCTGAACTTGTTAGGATTTCCATCAGTTCCTAAATCCAGATGGACCCCATCCTTCTGAGCCCCACAAGACAGAACAGAATGGAAATGAGTGCTGTCAGCATCAGCGTACAGAGAAGCCTTCAGCACTTGCCCAGGTCCTGCAGGCAGTGGGTATTCTTCCTCAAGTGCGACAGTCAGAGTGAGTCAGAAGGAAAACCGACTCGTTTCATAGACCCTCAAAGCCTTTCCAGAGTCTGACCCACTTTGCTTGCTTCCCAGGTGGCGCTAGTGGTAAAGAACCCACCTGCCAATGCAGGAGACAGAAGAGACTTGGGTTCAATCCCTGGGTCGGGAAGATGCACAGGAGGAGAGCATGGCAACTCACTCCAGCATTCTTGCCTTGAGAATCCCATGGACAGGGGAGCCTGGCAAGCCACACGATTGAAGCGACTTAGCAGCACCCGTGGAGGGGATACTGTCATTGCAGGTCAGCCGAGTTCGTTTCTGATGCTTTTGCTGTCCTTTTTCAGGAAACAGCATCCTCCATTCAGCCGCTGACAGTGTGACCAGCGCAGTACAGAAAGCGAGCCAGGCCTTGAACGAGCGCGGGGAGCGGTTAGGCCGTGCGGAGGAGAAGACGGAAGACATGAAGAACAGCGCCCAGCAGTTTGCGGAAACCGCACACAAGGTGGGTCTCTCCGCGCAGCGGGGCGCTCAGCTCTGGGTGGTCAGGGAGCTTCGGGGCCCAGAACTTTTCCATCAGTATGTTTGCCATGCTGCTGCTAAGTCACTTCAGTCGTGTCCGACTCTCTGCGACCCCAGAGACAGCAGCCCACCAGGCTCCTCTGTCCATGGGATTCTCTAGGCAAGAACACTGGAGTGGGGTGCCATTTCCTTCTCCATTGTCTGCCATGATGAGGTACAAAATCGAGCCGCCCCCCGGGTACAGTTTCCTTCTGCTACTTCATAAGTTGTGTGTGCAGTGGAAGCGTTCTTCTTTTACCTGTTTGGTTATCTCCTTTCCGCTGGCATCATCCCTGACTCTGATCCCATATCTTTGGGAACTGTGGACCATCTTTAGCTCCTACCTGGAAGTTTAAGGCTCTAGTTTCAGGGAACAGGATGGGAGTGGGGGTGGCGGGTGGCAGGTCTCAGAATATCTCTCCTCTTTTGGCCAGGGCTTGAAAGTACTGTGGGCTCTTGTGCTTACTTTTCCATGCTGTTCCTTTCTGGTTATGAGCACAGCATCCTGTGTTCTTATCTCTTTACCATATAAAAAGCAAACTGTAGTCCCAGGGTACCTCAGGGCCAGTGTCCCCTGCAGAGGGGCCTTGGACCTCTAAGGCTGACTGACACAGAGCTGCTTGCACAATTTCCACCTGCCTCTGGGTGCAGAGAATGGCCTTTCCGACATACCCCAGGTATGCACATTCACACACGCCCTGAAAATGATGCGCCTTTCAGAAACGGAAGTTGTTATTGGCAGCCAGCTATCTAAGGCAGTCACAAACGACAGGAAAGAGAGGCACTGTTGGTCAGGTGATAAAGAGGATTTATTACTGTTCTTGTGCTTTGGATCAAAGGGCAGTTCTTTTCTGGCTGGTGATTTGAATTTAGGTTTCCAGAAATGTTTGCTGATAATGGTTGGCGTGTCAGAGACATGATCTGGCCTCTCAAGATAGGCTTTTCAGGTGACCTTTAGGGGAAGAAAAAAATGAATTTGCTTCAAAGGAAAAGCCCACTTTTGCTGAGAAAACAGAAAAGGACAACTTGAAAAGTAACAGGAAGCATCTCCCCAGCTGAGCTAGGCTGGCCCCTTCCCAAAGCTTAAGCCCAGGCCCCACCGTGGATGCAGATCCGTGTGGCTGCATCTTGCCTTCCCTTGCACCCTCTTTGCACAGACCTGTCTTGTGGTGTCACGACAGCGTGTTATTGTAATGCAGCCCTGCTGGGGGCCAGAGCCTGGGTTTGCCGCGGCTGTCACAGAGGGAACGAGCTCAGAATTATGGTTCCCTTCACCTCTTCTGCAGCCTTCATAATAGAGAAATAATGATGGAGTGGTGAAGCTAGAATTTCCCACCCACCTGCATTTATAGCAACATTGACTGTAGTGATTTTAGGGAGGGAAGGGCAGTGAAAATCTGGGGAAACACGTAAACAGTGTTGATTTGGGGAAGAAAAGGCTAAAGGGAATTATTTTTTAATTGTCTTCAACTGTGGGAAGGGGGTGATATTGTAGCACTTCTCTCTTGTGTCTTGTCCTACAGAAAAGAGCACTCAATAGTGCACTGATAACATTTTGCTAAAATAAGAGTTAAGGTTAATGATTAGACCATGAACCAGATTACCAAGGAAGTCTGTGAAATCGCTCTTCCTAATGCAGAGTAGACAATACCTGGAGGTCATCCGTGTCAGTACCCACCTCAGAGAAGGTCGTGCAGACCTGGGGTTGGATAACCTATGCAGATGGCCAGAATTCTTGGCCCTGCTCACCCAGTTTTCCTGATACTGTGGCCAAGTGTGCTAGGTGGTTGGGAAGGCAGTATGGTTTGTAGTTAACATCTGCTGTTTGATTTACCACCTCAGTGACCTTGGGCAGGGGCTTAATTTCTCTAAGCCCCTATTTCCTCATCAGTAAGGACTGCTAACTAATAATAGTGCCTTTCTCCTAAAGTGTTGAGAGAATTGAATGCATTCAAACCTATAAATCGGTTAGCACAGCACCCGGTGCATATAAATCTTAATTGATATCAATTATAATTGTTTCCATAAAAATGGTTTCTGCTGAGCCCGCTCTAATCCATTGTTGCATGATGAGCACTGTCTGGGGCAGTTGGAAAAATGTGACTGAGGGCCCCAGCACAGGGATGGGGAGGGACTGGGGGAGAAGATCTGTGCCCTCCAGTGTGGGGTGGGAGGGCCTCCTGCTGAATGCCAACACTTTCTAAACACAGAGCAGCCCTTAAGAAGGGGACCTGTCAGAACAGAAACTGATTAGACCACCAAAGACACAGGGGTCTCTGGCTTTGACCGCTGGAAGGATTGGCGCCAACTAGTTACCTACTTCCTACTTCCCAGGAGAAGACGCAGTGGGGGGGGGCAGTCTCCACTTACGTTGGTTTCCCCTTCTGTGAGTGGTGTAAGGGGGCTGGGGGCACCGTTAATGTGCTTGAGGGAGTGTGAGAGACACTATTATAACCAGACTTGCAGTTTTCTAAAACTGAGGATGTGCGCTGATGAATCACCGGCATTGGCAGTATTCCTAACGAGGAGGTTGACCTCTTTAGATAAAGTGTGGCTATTTTCCCAGGGACTAGGACTCCTGATTTGTCCCATGGCATACGCTGACCATGAAGGTGTCATTTTGCTGGCCAAGCCTTCGCCAGGCCTGCTGGTGAGGAGCGTTCAGAGGTGGAACCCAGGTCTTCCACAACCCCAAATGTGGCTGTGTTGATTCAGAAAGTATAGGCTGTGTTTAAAAGTCAAGACACAGTGCTCATGTCAGAGCCCTGACAAGAAAGGCAGTTCTGGGTGAGCATTCCTCTCGGCTCCCTGGTTGAACAAGGGCATGCCACCTCGGCTGGAGAGGAGGGCACGCTTTCTGGATGGATTGCAATAAAAGAGCTTCTCTGGCTTTTTCAGTTTACCCTGGTACATTAGAGAGTAGATCACCTTTGCAGGACCCTGCCATCAAGATACATGGGTGCTTGTCTCCTGTAGAGATGATGGAAATGCTTCTGCACCCCTCTCTTCTCCCAGCTCTGTGCAGGCTGGCTTGGGGAAGCGCAGTTCCTTCCTGAGCTGTGAGCTTGGCACAGCCTTGGACCTTAGGAAAGTCCAGCTCAGCCACAAAGCAGGCCTGCTAACTCTCCACTACTTAAAAAGCACAACGGTGCAGTGTGTGCAATGCTTTGATGCCCGCCTCAGCTGGTGAGTCAGCAGGCGAGAGCGATACCCACACCTAGGCATCCTCAGATGACATTTCCTGCAGAAAAGAACAGGGATCTGCCCTGTTCTGCACAAGCCCACATTTGTGGGGAAGAGAGTGGTAAGTGGCATTTCCCTCCCTGGCAGGGAATGACTGCCTCTGTCCCTGCTCCAGCATCTGCTCCCTGCGCGTCTGAGCCAGAAGGGACCTCAAGAGTCCAGGCCCCTTAAAGAATCCCCCTGTATGGGCTTCCCTGGTGGTTCAGATGGTAAAGAATCTGCCTGCAATGCAGGACATCTGGGTTCATTCCCCAGGAGAAGGGAATGGCTACCCATTCCTGTATTCTTGCCTGGAGAATCCCATGGACAGAGGAGCCTGGCGGGCTACAGTTCATGGGATTGCAAAGAGTCAGACACGACTGAGGGACTAACACTTTCTCTTTTCCTGTATGAGTAACAGTATTTTCTATTATGATTACTGTTATCATTATTATTTAGATGGAGTCATTTACACAACTTTGAAAGAGAAAGCTTTCCATGAGTTAAGAAAACAGAATATAGTGAAAGGAAATTTTTAACTTACCCTCTACATTAATTCATAAGCATTTGAGTTGGAGATATTTATAGACACGGGCTTCCCTTGTGGCTCAGCTGGTAAAGAATTCTGCAATGCGGGAGACCTAGGTACAATTCCCAGGTTGGGAAGATCCCCTGGAGAAGGGAAAGGCTGCCCACTCCAGTATTCTGGCCTGGAGAATTCCATGGACTGTATAGTCCATGGGGTCACAGAGTCAGACACGACTGAACGACTTCGCTTTTCACTTTCACAGACACAAGGAAACTGAGGGACAGAGAGCTTGTGACTTTAGAGCTAAAGGTCATAAGCACATTTGTGCTTATGGAAAGCACCTGCCTTCCATATTCTAAAGTTTCTGACTCCCAGGAAATTAAAGAAAGAAAACAAAATGATGTAGAATGGAAGTGATGCCACTTTCTGCACAAATATCTCAAATGGCAAAACGTCCAAACCAGCTGTATTTCTGTGAAACTGAGCTGGCACGGCCCCGCCCGGTTGGGGCTCCCCTTAGCGCCAACCCCAGCTGCCCGGGAGAGGTAACCGGGCTGGTGTGAGGAGCGCATGCTCACTGCTGAGGATGAAGGACTGAGTAAATTGGCACAAGCCCATTAGCTGAAGGTTAATAGCTCAGTGAACAACAAGACAGCAGCTCTGATCAAATATTTATGGTTGGTATTCATTATGCACCACACTTAACAGCTCTGTGTTGATTTTGAATGATTCACGTTGCTAAATAATGTATTAAAACTAGAGACAGAGCAAGAAGTGGAGACCTTTCAGTGGAGGGGCTCAGAAGGTGGCTAGGGAGCGGGACGGATCAGAGAAAGAGTCCTGCATCTGCCATTTCTACCCACCGTGTTTCCTGGACTATCAGCTCATGGAGGTCAGGAGTTAGGAGCCGTGCCATCTTGGCAAAAACCCACAGCACTTAGCATGGCAGTCTGGACATGCTCAGGGCTTCACAAACACCGTCTGACGGTTGACGTGCTGTTGGCATCAGCACTGCAAAAGGTCCACAGGGGCTTCACTTAGGCTGGCTTCACCAGACACGGGTACCTGAAGCTCTCTGAGCTGAGGTTTCCCAAGTAGAGACTGTGTGTTAGTCGCTCAGTCGTGTCAGACTCTTTGCGATCCCATTGACTGTAGCTTGCCAGGCTCCTCTGTCCATGGGATACTCCAGGCAAGAATACTGCAGTGGGTTGCCATTCCCTTCTCCAGGGGATCGGCCCGATCCAGGGATCGAACATGGGTTTCCTGCATTGCAGGCAGATACTTTACCGTCTGAACCACCAGGGAAGCCCCCAAGTAGAGATTAATTTAACAATTTAACTACCTCTAGTCCAGCTCCAACCTCAGGGATTAATCCCTAATATCAAACTCTATAGACACCCAAGGAATCAGCTTCCACCTTGCCTTCTGCTTCACATCAGTGTACCGGCTCCTTGGAAAGGATCTGGCTAAGGAAGGCAATATCAGATTTAATTTTATGTTTTGTACCTGCATACATTTCCTTAAATACATCATCATGGGCTCCAGCTGGGCTTGGGAAACTATTGAATGATACAGTGGTATTTGGTGTTTCCATTTATAAAGATCTAACATTTCAGTGACCCACATTTTTCAAATACCAGAGGGAGCTAGCAAGTCAAGGTTTGAATTTGATCTATTGTTCAGTCCTGGTTGGTTACGTATTCTTAATTGTGAAGTGCCTCGAACCTGGTTGAACATCCAGGATATTACGTGGATTATTGCAGATTGTTTCTCTACAGTTGGTGATTTTAATACTTTGAGTTGTCAGTAAACACTTAAAACTGAATAGTCGTCTTCCTGGATAGCTAGTAACCTGGAAGCCCAGAAGCCTTTGTTGCTATGCTAGGGTGGGTCGCTTATTCTGCCTATACTTTGCCTCTTCCCTTTGTTCCTTCAGTGGCAGGAAGGAATACCATAGAGCCCCACCCTCCCTGGACACTTGCACCAGCAAGAATGCTGTGCAAGAACTGCAGTGCTTGGTGGACTGTAGGGAACGTTACACATTTCCTTGGTGCCACTGTGAACAGTAGTGGTGATCTGCCGCAGCAAAAAAAATATTGGTGCTTCTGCTCAGCGTGGATTTGGGAAAGAAGCAACCAGTGAACTCTCCCCACTGCTGATAACATCTCACATTTGTCCCTTTCTCTCCTTAGCTTGCCATGAAGCACAAATGTTGAGAAACTGCCTCTCCCAGAGACCTCTTAAGAGAAACTGAAGTTTGTTCAGCAGTTTTTACCAGAAACTCCGGACCTCTGCTTGCTTCTCCAGTCCCCCACCCCTACCAAAATATGGACATTTAGATGGTTTTTCCTTTTCAGATGTTAATATGAGAGAAAAGATGGTGTGTTTATATTAATACATTTCCCTAATAATCTTGCTAAGAAATGCTGCATAGTATCAGCTTCATTTTTTTCTGTGTGTATGTGTGTGTTCGTATGTGTGTTTTTTTAAAGGGGTTTTTTTTTTTTTGGTAGTTTGAATATGAAATTTGGACCAAATGATATATTGAGCTAGGTCTAAACCATATTTTTTTTTCCTGATATTAAGCAGGAAGACATTTTAATGTGATATCAGATGCTATTGTTCCTGGTTTGATAAAAGTCAAGCAGGTTGGTTTCACTCAGGCTCTTAGCTACTCTTAATTTGAAGGTTAAGATTCTATATCCTGAGACATAAATCTGTATTATGGAAAACAATTGGATTTATCAGGAGAAACAGCAGTCTTTGATTTTGCTTTCTGTGTAGTAATTTTCTGCATGAGCCATCACCAGCTTTCAGAAAAACAAATAAGAATCACAGATAGAAATCTACTTTCTGAGCTACAGTTTAAATTCTTCCACTACTTGTTTCCAGGCTGATCATTTAGAATTACCGTATGAAGGATAAAAATTTGAGATTAAAGACCTAAGGAAAAGCCTATTTAAAAACTAATGTGAATTCATGAACATTTCTTTGTCATTGTCCCAAATTGTGGTAGCTGATTTTGAAAAGAGCTTGGATTTTTATCAAGAATTGATTTGTCCAGATAAAGGTCTATGTAAATGATAATGTGAAAAGATAATACATTTAGAGTCTTTTTTCTTTTCTTTGCACAAAGACATACCTGTTTAGAGACGCCCTCATGATGTCCTTAGGAAATGTCCTTCAGTTCTCAATATCTGATTTTTGGAGGCTTTGATGTTGTTACTGCTGTCTATTTATTTAATGTAATTTGAAAGTGCGGGCTCCTTGACAAATTGCATTTCATGGCAATTGCAACTTGCCTCATCTGACATAGAACAGTATAGTCTTGAAGCCTTTACATTATAGTCAGAATGAATGAAGTTGGTTCATTACAGCTCCTGATTTTGTATCACTCAACATGGACCCAGATTTTCAGTCTGAGAGTTCGGTTTCTTAGAGGGTTAAAATGCTAAATATAAAAGCTGTGCTTTGTCTTTCTGAAACAAGGAAGCAAGCTGCACATCCCAGATACATTCTCAGCCTCCCGCTGTGATGCATTGATTTTTAAGCTGCCTGGATCATCAGGACCCTTTCTATTCCTTCCTACCTATTGAGCCGACTGAGGCCATGTGTATTGTAGCTTCTACATAGCAGCCTAGGATGACTTTGGGATTATTTATGCTGATTTAAATAGCTTAAATTCTCCTGCTAAAGCTTTGCCAGGGAGATAGAAAATTGGGCTACTGGGGGGGAAATGATCTTAGGCAATATGTGTCAAAAGGGAGATGAGATTTGCCAGAGAAGAATTTCTGAATCCTCTTAGGGAGATGATCCAGTTCAAGGAAACTCTCTGTAGAATTTATAGGGTAAACTATATGTTTACTATAATATTTTGTACTTTTCTTTTGGTGTCTTAAAACTTTAAAGAAGCAAGGAACTTATTTTCTGGTGAGTACTATTAGAAGCATTTATAATTTCTAAGAAAAGCTGAAAATACCACACGAGATAGGTTTTCTTTGCAGACCTCTGTTTAGTAAAAGCATGCGTGGGCACACATATACATCTTCCCAAATTGAATTTTAGCTTCAGAGATAGATAGTTGATATAAATAATTAGAAGAGTAAATCTCAAACCCCTGACAATCAGCCAAACACAAAAATAAAATTTGTTGCCAAGTATTTAACAACACAGTGTTTGTGAAGCTGCTTCTAAAGTAGCAGAGGGTGAGGTCATAAGCATACTGTGAAATGTGAGATTTTTTTTTTCCTCTCTGGTAAACTTGTGATAGTTATCCTTCATAAATGTAAGTATTCCACATCTTCCCCTCTTTCCTCACTCACTGTTTATCCTTTTAAACTTCAGTCTTTTGGAAGACATCCTGATTTGAAGTCTGTCTGTCTGCACCATTACTAGCTTCCTCCATTGATTTGCCTCCAGGCTGTGGTCACGCCCTTGACCTCCCTGTGTCCAAGGCCTACCTAGGCCTCCACCCGCAGAGAGGGCCAACCGCAACCCCAGTCCCTTCTAGACCTCCTGACTGCAGAAAAGCAAGCCTTGTGATGACACATGTGAGGTTCTTTGGTATCCTTTCGTAGAAGGTGCTTCAATACAAAGTATTAATACAATCTAACCTAGAGGAAATTGCTAAAATGATTCACATTATGTGGTACCAATTCATTTGGGACCAATTCAGTGGCTTGCTAAAAGACATTTAATTTCTTTGTTTCATTTCTGCACCTCACTATTGAGTTTTGGAAATACATTTCTGTGAAGGATTTCTTAGATTGAACTGACAACTCGAAAAGAGTCTTCCCAGCGCTCTCACTTCTTCCTGGATGTAGCTGTAGTATTCTTCCCTAGTACTATTAGGTACCTATAAACAGGAAGTAGTGATTCAGGTTAATGTTTCATATTAAAGAATGTATTTGTAAAATGTAACAAGAGCAGTAGTTAACTTTTTCTAAGCTCTGAAAAAAAATAAAGATTATGTGTTAGACTTAAAACTTCGGTGAAATCTGTCTTAATACTACTTTCATGGCTAACAAAGGTTGTGCATTTATGTAAAAATACTTATACAGAATGCCCTCAATAAACAATATTAAAGATAGGTTTCGCTTTCAATTTTTAGAATTGTAACACTGCTGATGTCTATTGTACAGTTACTAATTCTTCAGAAGTTCTCTAAGATGTCAAACATAATTTCTGTTCCTTTCAGAGATGAGTAACACCGGCTCTGTGATTCATTATTACAGCAAACTCTAATTTTGTCATTAAATATTTTACCTCTGTGATGAACGTTCGTTTCTCTTAGTTATTTGGGAAATCTCTAAAACTCTACCAGATAGGTAGGCATCATCGCATTTTTGATGCTCATGGGAAGATCTTGTGTGCCTTCAGGAGACTAAGAACTGGGGTTAGCATGTGGATAGCATTCCCTCTGGTCATTCCAGTGGGAGAACTTGAAATGTAAAAAAAGACTAAAGAGCTAACTAGCCCTAGTTACACAATAAACTTCTATCCAGTAAGAGTTTAGGTCTTTTATTTATTCTCATGGGCAAGCAGTTAAGTAGATTAAATGCTTTCTGCTGATATTAATGATGTGCTCAAGTCCATATTATTGCATGTGGCCTCACTGAGCAGACTATTTTCATGTCCTTTTAAATTGGAAAGAAGACCTGATCAAATTGTGTCAGTTTATTTTTATGCAAAAGCAAATGCAGCTTATGACATTGCCCCATTTGTTTTCAAGGGACGTGACTTTGGTGATGGCTGGTTTGGCATAGACAGTGCAGCAGGTGGCCTGAAATATTTCCTAGGAGAACCGCAGGTGGAGGAGAAAGGCTCCCACCTCCACTCTCGAGAGAAAAGAAGGATAGAGAGGTGGTTTGGCTAGATGATGCCCTGACTGTAAATTATTATAATTAGGTATTTAAAGGCACTGTTCTGGTGAACTAATTATAAACCCACCTACTTGCCAAGATGATCTTTACTCTTACTCTAATTTTTGTTAGCAGTTATACCACAACCGACTCAAATTTTATGGGAGAATTAATACAAGTATCTTTTTAAAATCAACAATGCCTTTCCTCCTTGCTGTCAATGAGAACACGCTTAGGAAAAACTAGTTGTTCCTTGAATAATGGGTTTGAGTTGCCCAGGTTCATATATATGTGGGTTTGCTGTTGTTTTTTTTTAATAGTTGCATAGTACAGTACTACAAGGGGCTTCCCAAGTGGCTCAGTGGTAAAGATTCCACCTGCCAATGCAGGAGATGCAGGTTCGATCCCTGGAGCAGGATGATCTCCTGGACTAGGAAATGGCAACATACTCCAGTATTCTCGCCTGGGAAATCCCATGGACAGAGGAGCCTGGTGGGCTACGGGCTTGCAATAGAGTTGGACACTACTTAGCAGCTAACCAACAACAGTACTACAAGACCCACAACTGACTGAATCCAGATTTAACCAACCACATGTGTGTCAGGTGATGGGCAGACTGTAAAGTTATAGACAGATTTTTTATTATTTGGGAAGTAGCTCTGACCCTTACATTGTTCAGCTGTGTTGATTTATCAATCATCATCTGCCTAAGCAAGCGGATTGAGGGCAGGGTGAGGTAGAGAGAAGAGGGAGGAGAAACATTCCAAAAACAAATGTCTAACAAATGCAAATGTTTCCATATGAGTTCCTGATGGTATTCATTCTGTGTGCCTCTTCCCCTGGAGTGGACAGACCTGGGTCATAGTGTAACATAAGTGCGCACATCCACATATGTATGCACACAACTGGCATTAGAAATGATCATGCAGTCCAGTTTTCACTGGGGCATTATTCACAATAGCCAAGACATGGGAGCAAACTAGATGTCCATTACCAGAGGAATGGATAAAGACGACGTGGTACATATATACAGTGGAATATTGACTGAGTGAAGTCGCTCAGTCGTGTCCAACTCTTTGTGACCCCGTGGACTGTAGCCCACCAGGTTCCTCCGTCCATGGGATTTTCCAGGCAAGAATACTGGAGTGGGTTGCCATTTCCTTCTCCAGGAGATCTTCCTGACCCAGGGATTGAACCCCGGTCTCCCACATTGTCAGTCAGTTCAGTCGCTCAGTCGTGTCCGACTCTTTGCGACCCCATGAACCGCAGCACGCCAGGCCTCCCTGTCCATCACCAACTGCTGGAGTCCACCCAAACCCATGTCCATTGAGTCGGTGATGCCATCCAACCATCTC